GGGGGGGGGGGGGGGGGGGGGGGGGAGGAGTTTCTTCTCTGCAGCCTCACCCACCACCTCTCCTGCATCTTCCTCAGTTCCTGGCCTCCCACTTATAAGTTACCCATCTGATTCAGCATGAATCTGAATTTGAGAGAACAGAACAGGAAAGCTACTGTTTCCTGATGCCAAATACATAACTCCAGTCTTTGTCTATTAACCCTTCACTTAGAGTAAATCCTCCACCCACATAGGCAGTCTAAAGGTTAATCTGCCTCCCAACCACCCACGCCCCAGTGAGCATGGATTAAGCAGGACACTCATCCTCCTAGGTCAGCTTCAGTAAATACTTCTGAGTCATGCTGGAGATGGCTCACTCCGCCCCTCACCACGACTCACTCACCAGCCCCAGCAGGCTCCATTGCACTCATCAGAGGGGATACTTGGCCAGAGAGAAGCTGACTTCACCATGGCCCACAGCTTTGTGAGTCACCAAGGGGAAAACCACCCCACAGTCCTCTTAGGTTCTTCTCCCAAACTGCCTACCAGGCAAGCAACCACAAAGGACACGAGCACCCTTTCCACCAGAGAAGGGCCAACCCACACTGGAAATGCCACTGTTGGCTGTTCCAGGTAACAAGAAACATGGTAAGAGATCATCCAGAACCCTAAATCAATGCAAGAAACTGAAGCTGCCCCTGGCATTTGTCAGCTATGCAAACCCAGTCCCAAAGCTGGACATTTCCGAGAGGGGACAACTGTGGCTGTTTCTACTTTCTCCTGAAGAGTCCCCCCTCCTCCAAGAAACCCCCACCCCCTGCCTTCTAGGACCTGACCTACCCAGCACACTCAGCACGCTGTCTCTGCTAACCCTTTGTTTTAGAAGGTTTAGAGACTAGGAATGCTATCTTATAATCTTCTGGTCTTAGGTGCTTTCAGAACCATTGTGAAGAAATGCACTCCAGCATCTCAAACACGTACTCACAGGAGTGCTCAAGTCCCGGAAAACTCGAGCTTCTGAGCAGTTCATTTCTTTCATCCCATGACCGTGGGACTGCCACAGACATGGACTCTTACGAGGTTCTGCCCCTCATTCCTTGAGTAAAAGCAGAATCCCTCCACCGGAACTAGAAGAGGATGCTGCAGAGCTGTACAAAGCTGCTATACCCCATCGATGCTCCAGGAGAATTTCTATGCCTTCCATCCTACCCTTGGATGACAACCACAGGTGGACAGGCCCTGCAAACATCAGGAGTGTTGCTGAGACCAGCACTTCGAGCCCCTGCCAGGTGAGGTCCCAGCCAGTGAGCAGAAGGTACTGGTGCAGTGGCGGTCATTCCCGCCAACCACTGGAAAGACAGTGCCCGCCTTCTTTTGCACAGGGCGGGGACCTAGCCACTGTCACTGGGTGAACTTTCATCTTAGTCCCTGGAGAAAAGGGCAGAGGCAACAACTTAACTCCTTCCATACTGGAAGATGCGGACCAATGAGCATCCACTTGGCACAGATCCAAAAGACCCCCTCCTGAGGGTCTCTGGAATGAAGAGAGGACTTCAGCTCACATAAACATGACCTCAAATGTCTATACAGCTTAATTCTAATCACGAAAAACCGGAAAAAGCCCTGAATCCTGTGACCAGCAAGTGAATGAATCAATCAAGCAGCTTTTGCTCAGCAAAAACAAAAACTACAAGTAGAAGAACAACACGGGTGAACCTCTGACACATTATGGCAAAGGGCTACACACGGTTGATTCATTCATCTGACTTTCTGGAAAAGGCAAAATTAGTAACAGAGTGAGGTTGCCAGAGGCGGGAGATGGGTGACAGAAGGGCAGTGGGAGGGAGTCTGCGGATGGCTGGAAATGTTCTTCGCCCTGACGGTGACGGTTATTATAAGACCTGGCACACTTGTCAAAACTCACAGAAAAGTAAAAAAGGGTGAACTATGCCGTATGTCAACGAGAAGAGAAAGAAACAAAAATTAAAACTGAAATCTCTCCGTCCTAATAAAATGAGTGCTGAACAGGGAGAAGGGTTCGAGTTTTGAGGGGGTGGCTAGTGGTGGGTTTTCCATCACAAATCACAGAGCTGCCCAACAGGAAAAGCCAGAGCACACCTCCAGCGCACCAGGACCTCATTTCGAAACATAAACTGACAACATGCCAGACTCAGGCCCGAGAGAGCCCCAGAGCGCAGACCTTCAGTAAGTCCCCTGCAGCCTGACTCCAGCCACAGTAGCAGCCCAAAGGCATCCCGGAAACTGCCGGCTTTCATTTCCACCCAAAATAAGCACAGATCATCCCCACGGAAGAGGACGCTAAGTCCGGGGACCGCTGGACTTCTGAACCCCCAGCAGAGACGCCTTTGTACACTTCCATTCGCTCTGTCATCGTCCAAGAGGGGAAAAAAATTCCCGACTTCCTGGGGTCAACTCCAGCCCTGCCCACCAAAACCAGATAGAAATTCCTAACTGAAAAGCACCCAGTGGGACGGGGAATGGGGGAGGGAACGGGATAGGATGCCCTCAGAAGCAGACACAAGACGCAGGCTGACAACGTCGGGGACACCCTGGCGAACAAGCCGCGGGTTCCAAGGTAATACCAGGGCATGCGCCCGCCCGCCCGGCTGCCAGTGCACCGGAGGCAACGGCAACCACCGGGCACGGGCCGGGAACGGCCGGATTCCCAACCGCGACTCCCATGTCCTTCGCGCCACTGGGGGCCCTAGGGCAGCACTCACGTAGACTGGCAGCGGCCACGGGTAGACGGCGGGCTCGGCCCCCACGGGCGACTTGAGCCTCAGCTCCAGCTTCTCCCCCATGTCAGCGCGCGCGGACGCCGCACCATGCTAGTCCGACGGTTGGGGGAGGGGCGGGGCCGCCGGCTGGAGGGCGGGCGGAGGAGGCGGGCGGAGGGAGGGGCGGGGGGGGCTGAGGGGAGGGGGCTCGGCCTAGGCCTCGGCCACCGCCGCCGCCGCGCTCCCGTCCGGCCCCCGGCTCCCTCTTTGTGGTCACAGGCCCGAGGCCTCCAGCTCCGCCGCCATCTTGGGTCGGCGTGAGGCGAGCACAATGAGCCAGAGGCCGGGCGGAACCACTCGCCGCGCGGGCGCGGGGGGGTCCCGGCGCAAGGAGGCGGTGCGTGGCCATAGCCCCGCCCGCCGGGCCGCGTGCACCACCCCTCAGATGCCACGCCCCCGTGGACTCGGCCGCCTAGTACGTACACACGCACGCACGCATTCAAGCGGGCGCGTGCCCGCACACGTCCTGGACTGCCCTCTTACGCCCTCGCACGCCCTCGCACGCCCTCGCACGGCCCAGCCAGCCAGAAACCGGGATCCCGGGAAACCCTGCAGGCGGGGCAAGGGCGACCGGGGCGTGTGGGCCCAGGTGAGTGACGAGTTCGAATGCCGACGTTTGCTTTCTTGCTGTATGCACTTTGCTGCTGGACATATTGGCCCTGTGAATGAAATGAAATGCCCTGACCACAAAGAGATTTCCATTTTATTTATTTGCTTATTTTGCAGTTCTAGGGATGGAACGCAGGGCCTCTTTCTCCTCTACCACTGAACCACACTCCCAGCCCCAGTTTCCTTCCATTTAAAAACGAATAGTCATGCCAGGCGCCGATGACTCACACCTGTAATAATGACTGCTCAGGAGTCAGAGATCAGGGAGATCGCGGTTCGAAGCCAGCCCCTGGCAAATAGTTCTTGAGACCCTATTTGGAAAAAACCCTTAACTAAACGGGTCTGGTGGAGTAGCTCAAGTGGTAAAGTGCTTGCCTAGCAAGTGTGAGGCCCTCAGTTAAAACTACCAAAAAAAAACAAGAAGAAAAGGAACAATCATGATAATGGTCCTGGGAAAAGATAAAGTTTCATAAATGTACCCCCAGGGGGTGGTTGATTTTGTATTGCATCTCAAAACTAGGTCATGTGCCAAGTTTTAAAGAAGCATTAGTCTAGATGTCAAGATCAAAGCTGCTCTCCTTCTAGCCTCCAAAAGATATTCTCTCTTTTTTTTTTTTTTTTAATGAGACTGGGGTTTGAACTCAGACCTTTGTGCTTGCAAAGCTGTCACTACTGCTTGACCCTGCCTCCAGTCCATTTTGCTGTGGTTATTTTGGAGATGGTGTCTCCCCTACTATTAGTCTGGGCTGGCCTTAAACACTGATCCTTCCAATCTCAGCCTCCCGTGTAACTAGGATTACAGGTGTGAGCCACCAGTGCCCATCTTCAAGGAGGTATTCTTAGTGAAATTAACATTTAAATCAGCCAGCGCTGGTTCAAAACCAGCCCGGGGAAATAGTTTGAGAGAACCTATCTCAAAAATACCCAATACCAATCAGGGTGGCTCACTGGGCTCTGCTGGCACATGCCTGTAATCCTAGCTACTCAGGAGGTAGAGATCAGGAGGATCAAAGTTTGAAGCCAGCCTGGGCAAAAAGTTCAAGAGACCCTATCTTTAAAAACGCCTTCACAAAAAAGGGCTGGTGCAGTGGCTCAAAGTGTAGGCCCTAAGTTCAAACCCCAATACTGCAAAAAAAAAAAAAAGACTAGCTCAAGTGGTAGACTCCCTGCCTACCAAATACGTTCAAGCCCCAGTATCACTTTAAATCATTGGCCTTTAAAACAGTTGAGCTGTCAAAAATCACAGAAGGTCATAGTTTTGGGCTAGGTGCCTGCCGTGATCCCCTACAGACCAGACTAAAAATCAAGATGGAGTCACTTGCTCTAAAGTTCCAGGTCACCAAACCAAAACTAAATTGTTTTCTGATCTTCCTGGAAGGGGTTGGGGATTTAGCTCAGTGGAAGAGTGCTTGCCTGGCAAGTGCAAGGCCCTGAGTTCAGTCCCCAGCACTGGAAAAAAAAAAAGGAAAAATAGAGAAAAAAAAGAGACAAAAAACAAGGCAACCGATCTTCCCAGAAATCAGAAAAGAAAGATATCAGTCAAATTTTCCTCACATGCTAGTGTCAATCTGAGTAATAATGGAGTGAAAATGAAGTTACCTTCTTAATCTTTACAGAAAAAAAGTTAACTGTGATAAACAGGTTTAATCCATCAGTTATTTTTCTATAGTTGTCTTACAAGGAAAGTAACTTTGAGATGACCTATCCAGCTTTGTTCATTTTTTTTTTTGTGGTAGTGGGAATTGAACCCCAGGGCCTTGCATCACTGAGCCACATCCCAACCCTGTTTATCAAACTTTAGGCAGGCTTTTCCTAGATCTTTTTTTTTTTTTTTTTTTTTTTTTTTTTTTTTTTTT